AGAAGACCCTACCTACCTACCCTAATTTTTTTGGAGGTGTAACTGGAACCACACATATTTTTTTGTTTGGCCTAAGGTAGTGTAGATTCACGTTTGAAAAAAATCATGACCTCCTGGGGATAGGATTGGTCATAATTATATGGAAGCATCCTCAGATAGTGTAGATTCAGATTTGTTCAAACAATGAGGCCAAACAAAAAAATATGTGTGGTTCCGGTTACACTTCCAAAAAAATTAGGGTAGAGCTCCCAAGTGCCTTTGTATGGCTTTTGAAATTTTGGCTGCCTGCGGGGGCATTTGTGGTGATACGACACATCTAATTCTCATTTGACCTCCTAAATGCTAATTGTGACGTCATGAACTAGTGGATTTTCCCATATTTTCTTCAAAAGTTGCAGAAGACATAAATTTTCAGTGGAATTTTCTTTCAGATAATATAGAGCACATGCACTGCCCACAAAGATTTTAATAAATATGATTTTGTAAAGGATTGAAATGGAAATGTAAAATTGAAATGTACAACAGCTGTGGACATTATTTTCTTAATGAGGAAAATAACCCCAGAAATGAGTCATTTTGGGGCTTCTTTTGTTTTAAATGTAGAAAATTAACAAATAAATAACGTCATATTTCCACAATGGTCCTACATTATGCTATATTCTTTCATGATTTATCAAATTCATCTACTCAATTCATATTTATTCCAATTTCATAACTTTTTAAAAACATCAAGTTTTTAGGGCACAATAATGCCCAAACTTTACCTTCTTCTCTGTTAAAACTTTTATATTACAATTACCACATGTATAAAAAATGTTGAAAAAACAGTAAAACAACGACATCCTTGCATCCAAATATGCATGAATGTATAAATAAAAATGAGAATAGTGAATTGGTTATGGGTGAATTAAAAAAAAATGACCAAACACATATTTATCAACCCAAACTAAAAATACAAGCAATGAAAATAGATTTCTATGTCTCAGCATATGTCTTTAGATAGTGTCTAAATACGTGCCAAATATTTCGGTGATATCTCAATTAACAAAAAAGTTATGCCCAAAAATGATGCCAAAATTGTCAGGAGTGCAACACCTTTTTGTGACATTTTGAAATTTCAATATTTTTTGGAGATCTGTGAAATAAATAATTATAATGCTTTATGTTGAAAATAAAGACTTTCCTGATAATATTCAAAGTATTGAGCTTTAAATGTGGACTGTAGTAACTTTTGTTTAATCAAGTTGTGGTCATGACTGATGTTTAAAAAAATGTTATACCATGTCAGGAGTGCAACAGAAAAAATGTAGTGTTTCCAAAAAAACATCAATTGTAAAATTCTGAAAGAAAATTAAGACAAAAAATTTTTTTCAAAGTGTAAGACAATAACTGATATACATTTTAAAATTTATAAATGTTATATAAATCACAAGCAGCATTAATGAGAGTCAAGTATATGTGCATACCCAATAATGTCAGGAGTGCAACATTTGATGTTTTGCTCCCAAGCATGAAAAAAACTATTATCATTATATGATTTTCTTATTTTTATTTTGGACAATAAAGACACAAAGAACATTTTTACCAAATAGATTTATCAATTACAGGGCCTGTCTGTGCTTCAGATCTATATTTCTATGGTCCGGAGTGCAACACATTTTTTTAAATTTAAGTTGTGTGACAAAAACACTTCTATTCAAGCTTAGAAGTATTCATTAATTAATAATGATCTTTTTGTATAATTTAATACTAAATTATTGACAGTTTTATTATTAAAATCCTTCCTTTTTTAATTTTATCAATTCAGATGTGTTTTTATCTTTTTTGTGATTTTTTTAATGAACGTTGAAAATAAACACACTAAAAAATTGTCATAAAATTCAAGTAATTCCTCCTCAACTTCACTGAAACAACAGAACAAGTTCTTATGTATATAGTTTTCACCTCACAATTCTACTTTAAAGGCCCCTATGCTTTTGGTCAGGAGTGCAACAAATATGTTAGAATTATAAATCATCCAATAAGAATAAAAATAAAGAAAAAAAATGATGAGTAGAATTTTTCTGGTGGGTTACTGTGTTTGTCCTCTAAAGGAAAATATGAGCTATAAAATATATTTTATCTTCTAAATATACATTTAAGCTAGTTTTTTGGCATAAGTAGGGAATAATTCCAGATAAAATGCGAATTTTAAATACTTTCATATGTTTTAATTATGAAGTATTGGACTATAAATATTGCACAAATTCATTACCACTTGATGTTGCCAACACTTTATGAATTTTTGTGTTCTATGGTTTTAATTTTAAATTTTACTGCAGTCAGGAGTGCAACAAAACTGCTTTATAATTACCAATGCTTTTTAACTATCTTTACTAAAAAATAAGTTGAAAAAAATTGTTTGATACTATTAGATGTTCAAAACACTATGTCTATCAACAAATTACAGAAATTTTACAATCAATTCAGGGGATAGTTTTCATCATTTCACATATATTTTTAAATACAATTTATATACATTACACTTTGCAAATAGTCATGTGTTAAGGTCTTAAAAATATGAAAAACCTGTCGTAAACGATGAAAAATATCAAAACGAAAAATTGATTTACAAAGTAAGAATGGGTTATTGTGTGTTATAATTTTTAAAACAATGTTAAATAAAATACATATCAGATGTCAGGAGTGGAACACAATAATGTAACATAGGGTCACTTCAAAATCTAGTATTTTTTGTAAGAGAACTCGTATTTAAAAATTCTTTTTTGGCTTAGATTTAAATAAATGACTTGAACGGACAAAAAAGTTAATTTTGGGGAATTGTATTGCTTCATATTTTTTTCATATTAATACTTTTCAAACCAGAATTGAAAAAATAATGTAAAATAACAATCAAAAAGCCAATTCTTTGTCACATACACAAGAGAAGATACTCAATCAAGGTCTAGATTTAATCATTTATACCCCTTTTACCGTTTTCAAGCATAAAAAACTAAAATTTCTTGTGATTATGTATTTTAGAAAGTCTTTTAAGGTGTAATGATATTTTCTTTTTTCAAAAGAAATTTTACTAATAAAAATTCTGAAACTTTTTAATCCAATTGTCTATTCTATTGCCACTTCAGGATTTTAAACTAGAATGCATGTGCAATAAGATGATATAAATGAAAAATATGTTATATGTAGTTGAATTTTTCCAAAAAATTTCAGTTTGGTGGTCATTTTTTTTAATTCACCCTTATGTTTTTACAGCACATTTTAAGAAAAATTATGGATATTCATTTAATATCGTAGTAAAAATTGCATGTATAAATATCATGATACATGTATTATTCTGATATTTGGGGGGGGGGGGGGGGAGGGGGGATCCTAGCTGATATTTCTTGATACGAAAGTTTTGGTGATACCAAAGGGATTCAGGTTTGTTCAAATAAAGTAGCACACCACCTTGAACACATTGAAAGGAGAGATAATCAAAAGGCAAAAGTGGGTGGGTGACTTGAAAATCTTGATAACTTATCAGAAAACACAAAACTTGAGTGAAAGCTTCCATATAGTGTAGCAGGGTTTTCCATCATATGAAAGGATGATGTGCCATACAGGCCCTCAGTAGATTGACAAAAAATTACCATCCAAATTTTACACTTATTTTTGCATATACTTAATCTTTGACATATAAACCTTTATGGAATTCCTCTTTTACCAAAATATGTAAGATATATTTATTTTACTTTATTTCAGGTAGGAGTTCACTGTTTACATCCATTTCCCATTCATTTTTAGCCCCACCCCACTTTATAAAGCTCTTAAAAGGGAAGGGAAGGGGGGGGGGCACAATAGGGAATCCAAGTTTTACATTGAAATGTATAGGAAAAATCTTTAAATATCTTCTTCTCAAGAACCACTGGGGGTGGTGTAAGGGGGGGGGCACAATAGGGAGTCCATGTTTTACATTTGGAAGCATCCTGGGGTAGTGCAGATTCTAAATTGTTCAAATCATGACCCCCTTGGGTAGGATGGGGCCACAATAGGGAATCCAATTTTTACATGGAAATAGAGAGGAAAAACCTTTAAAAATCTTCTTCTCAAGAACCACTGGGCCAGAAAAGCTTAAATTTATGATGAAGCATTGTGGGGTAGTGTAGATTGTAAATTGTTCAAATCATGACCGCCTTGGGTAGGGTGGGGCCACAATAGGGAATCCAAGTTTTAATGGAAATAGAGAGGAAAAACCTTTAAAAATCTTCTCAAGAACCACTGGACCAGGAAAGCTGAAACTTATGATGAAGCATCATGGGGTGGTGTAGATTCTAAATTGTTCAAATCATGACCGCCGGGGGTAGGGTGGGCGCTGGGCCACAATTGGGAATCCAAGGTTTACATTGAAACGTACAGGAAAAATCTTTAAAAATTTTCTCCTCAAGAACCACTTGACCAGAAAAGCTGAAACTTATTGGAAGCATCCTGAGATAGTGTAGATTCTAAATTGTTCAAATCATGACCCTCGGGATAGGGTGGGGCCACAATAGGGAATAAAAGTTTTACATTGAAACATACAGGAAAATTATTTAAAAATCTTCTTCTCAAGAACTTCTGGGCCAGAAAAATTGAAACTTATGTGGAAGTTTCCTGGGGTAGTGAACATTCTAAATTGTTCAAATCATGGCCCCCTGTGGTAGTATGGGACCACAATGAGTATTACAAGGGGGAAAACTGGTGAAGAACAGCAGGGCCAAAGTTACTCAGGTGAGAGTTGTGGCCCATGGGCCTCTTATTTGGTTACATTCCATTTCTTTTGAAATTTGTTCTTAAATGTGTCCCTTGGAACACCTCCCCAGCTATACCAACAAGATTTTTTGCAGGCCAATGTGATATTTGTATGTATCATTCATTTTCTTGTTCATTCTAGCTGTCAGCGTGTGGGTCATGATGTTCTGTTGATATTTTGTAGGAAATGGAGATGTGTGACATGGATTTGTAGACATAATATTTGGATCCCATGAAATGGAAGGAGAGAGCATGGCTACATGTACTTTAGGTAGCCCTATCCAGTCTGATTCCGAGTCAACAGATTCTACAGAGTCTGAGTCCACAGATGCTTCACCCACTAAGAAACAGAGAGTTGATGGTATGGAGTCTTACACCAACTCCTATTGTTTTTGAGGTCACTGAGTCACTCAGGTGACCTATAGCTTCATGCTTTTATCAGTATTCATGTTCTGGAACCAATGATCAAATTCAACTAATTTTGATGTATAGCATCTATGGGCATGATGGGTAAAGAAGAAAAAAATTGTGAATTTCATGATCCATGCCTCCTGGGGCCCGAAGAATGGGGCTAAAACCACCAAAACTAATGCAATCTACATAAATCTTCCTCTTTATTCTATTGATCTCTATACCAACTTAAGGGAGCCTCTACCAAAATTGTGAAATTCATGGCCCTTGGGTCCAGTGTAGGAAGTAAACGTGCGCCAGCATGCTTGAGACGTACTAAATCAAGAGCAGACGTATAAATTTTACTCTGCATCAGCCCGCTTGGACGCACAAATTTTACCTTATTCCCTCCATTTTTGAACATAAATGTTTTGTGAAGGTAATGACTAAATATTCTAGCATACATACAAGGCACAGTTCCCTTAGACAACAAGAAGTGAACAAAACTGATTAAAAAAATCTGTATATATATGAAGAATGCCACAATTTTAAAAAAAAAAAAAATTGTGATACCTTGGGCCTCTTGTTTACCCCCAATTTTTTTTTTTTTTTAAAGTCAGATTAAAGTAGGGATGTCAATTTTGTCAATAATTCATATTCGAATATTCAATGAAAGTATTCGAATATATTCGAATATTCGATAAAATAAATAAAATCTGTTTTATTTTAAATATGCATCATCCTACTCTCGTAGGCATACTTATATTGGAAGTAAAATTGTATGAAGACTTTTGTAGGTGTACAATAAGAAATTCCATTTGATATTTGTCAATGTTTGAAATAAATAATTGATTTAAATGTAGAAAAGTATAATTTTAACAAATGAAACGTGTATTTATAGTAGCCCTACCTGAGGAACCAGTCGTCTCACAAAAGGCAAGATAGCCGTAACGGTATACTGTTCAGATTTCAATACGTGTAATAAATTACAATTATCTACCTGATAAGAGATATGATTATCATCTTTGATACAATGTAAACAAATATTTCCATAGACAATTTTCCTAGGTAATTAACTGTTTTCCCGATAATGAATATAAATTATGTACAACCCGAGATAATCAAGTAATTTACACATTTATTCTGAAATTAAGCCCTTTACAATATTAATTACAGATTAATTCTATCGGACATTCATTCAATGATCAATTAATTTTGTTTTGATAAGTATACTCTTCACGCCTTTTAGATACTCTTAGATTTCATTTGTTGTCCTCGATTCTAGATCCGATCGGATCTAACTAATAAAAACTATGAAAGTACGTTTTGTATTATATACATAAAGCATTATTGTACAATTCTTTACAACACCTTACTCAAAACAAAATACATGTAATTTAGAAGATTTATAAGATAAGAAAGTAGTGAAAGAAATCAGTCGATCGAAATTGATCGCTAGTAAATTAAACAGGAATAATTCCAGCATTGTTCTAATCAAAATCTTTTAATCACAGTACTTCTTTTTATGAAATCTGAAAAACACTGAATATTCGAATCTTAAATTCATATTCGAATATCAACTTATAGAATGAATATTTGAATGTTCGAATATTCGTTGCCATCCCTAGATTAAAGTGATCTAAATGTCTGTGGTATGAATCAAACATACTAAGTGCATAATTATAATGAGTATGGATTCCTCTTCCAGAATTGTGAAATCAGAGTCTTCTTCTTTGCTCTTAGGCATTTTAGAGGCAGATTGCCATTGTAATGAGCAATGGTGTTTTTGTGAAAATTTTTACAATTGGGTCAGGGTTCTGATGTTTGTTAGGGCTCTATTGATCATGTAAGGAAATCTGTACTCCACTTTGAGGAAAGTTATTCCCTTTAGTATATATCAGTGATACCAGTAATTATCCTTTGTCCTCTTATGGACATCTATAGCTAAATATGCAGTATCCATGGGCAGATAATGACCACTAATTCACAGAAACAATATGACATCTGTAGATTATCATTTTCCATATTCATTTTTAGCTCACCTGAGCCGAAGGCTCAAGTGAGCTTTTCTGATCGAAATTTGTTCATCTGTTGTCGTGGTTGGCATTGTCGTTGTAAACTTTTCACATTTTCATCTTCTTCTCGAGACCCACTGGGCCAATTTCAACCAAACTTGCCAAAAAGTGTCCTTGGGTTTTGTTTGTTTGTTTGTTGTTTAATGTCCCTCTTGAGATTTTTCACTCATATGGAGACGCCACCACTTGCCGTTGGAGAGCTGTAAATTTTGATCTATACTCGGCACTTCGGGCCATTGAGCAGTGAGGGATCTTTTTCATGCCAGCACCTACTGGCACCTACTGCGACACGGGACCTCAGTTTATAGGGTATCATCGGAAGGACCGGTCTCCACGTCCCACAGTGGGATTCGAAACCTGCAATGTAAGGATTAACTCCTTACGTGTCCTTGGGTAAAGAGGATTCAAGTTTGTTCAAATAAAGGGCCATGCCTTCTTCCAAGGAGAGATAATTTTGAATCATTTAAAAATCTTCTTCTCAAGAACCACTATGCTAGAAAATATGAAACTTATGTGGAAGCATCCTCAGGTAGTGAAGATTCATGTTTGTTCAAATCATGACCCCCAGGGGTAGGGTGGGGCCACAATGGGGGATCAAAAATTACATAAGGAAAACATGGAAAAAATCTACAAAAATCTTATTCTCAAGAACAGCAAAGCCATGATTAGTCATATTTATATGGAACCATCCTCAGGTAGTGTGCAATCAAGTTTGTTGAAATCATGATCCTAGGGGGTAGGCTGGGGCCACAATGGGTGATCAAAGTTTTACATAGGAATCACAGGCACTTGGGGTATGGACCCCCCCCCCCTTTTTCCCATTTTTTTTTCTTTTTAAATCTGGGGTCGAGTCACCTTTTTCCTATTTTTGAATTCTAATATGCACTGTATGTTATCAATAATATAACTCTTTTGTCTCTATAAGCTGTTTTTAAATATATCGTTTTCGACTGATACATATAAAGAGAGAAGGCTTGCAACTCTTTTCTCATCGTCTGCCTCACCTCGCTTAAACTTCGCCTGATTATTTATCGAAAGAATAAGAAAACATGAAATATGCATACATCAATAAATTCGTTATACATTCTTCTTTCTTTTCATATTTCAATTTAATTTTTATGTGCCCCCGATTTGTAAATATTTCGATTAAATCATCCGCATCTAGGGTAAATTTTGGGGGGGGGGGGGTCCATACCCCAAGTGCCTGTGTGCAAGCCTTCTCTCTTTTTATGTATCAGTCGAAAACGATATATTTAAAAACAGCTTATAGAGACAAAAGAGTTATATTATTGATAACATACAGAGCATATTAGAATTCAAAAATAGGAAAAAGGTGACTCGACCCCAGATTTAAAAAGAAAAAAAAATGGGAAAAGGGGGGGGGGGGTCCATACCCCAAGTGCCTGTGATAGGAATACACAGGAAAAATCTTTAAAATCCTTCTCAAGAACAGCAAAGCCATGATTGATCATAATAAATATAAAAGCATCCTCAGGTAATGCAGACTCAAATTTGTTCAAATCATGACCACCACCATCGTGCCTTTGACTGAAGGTAATGTGCATTTAACAATGTTTAGGGATATTTTTGCATTGTATTCGACATAGTCACAGTAAATCTAGTGAGGTGCTTGGGCCCAAGTTAGACATTGTTCTCATGTGAGTAATGTGGCCCATGGGCCTCCTGTTAAAGTTGATTGAACAAAATTTCAAGTACATCTTTATTGCAAATTTTTTTTTAGACTCAGATGAAGAGTCATCTAACAGCTCACCTGGTGGAAGAACAACTGCAGAAGTGGAGAAAACACCCAAAGAGGAAGGGGACCAATGTATTGCAGAAACAATTGTGTTTTCTCTCCTTCAAAAACAACGCCACCCAGAGTTTGAAAATCATATTGTGCCAAATATTTATATTGACCAATATAATTTCAGAATTTTCATGTATGATGCAGATGGAGATTTTCTTATATCTACTGCCCTTGTACCACTTTTTTATGAGGGAACTTTAAGTCCTGCAGCAATAATCTGCCTTTGGATGGTTTTGCATTATAGATTATTTTGTACCAAAATTAGAGAGGGTGAACGACTTAAGTCACGGTTCATGGAGTTAACTAACATAACTCGTGAAATTTATTCCAACAGTTTAAAATTCCATGTGTCGTCTTTTCCTACACAAAAGCAGCACAGTTTACCTGACATTTTGGATCCATTTAATTTTCATAGGGATGAAAATTGAAAAGATGTAGGTACAGTATATGTCTACAATGAAGCTCATTAAATTAATTAAATGATGAAACACACTTTTAAACTTTACCTGCTGCAAAGTCAGACTTTGCTTAAATTTTGATATTATTATAAGTTTAATTTTATTTAAGCTCACCTGAGAGAAAGGCTCAAGTGAGATTTTTTTTATTGAAGTTTGTCCATTGTCAGTCCATCTATCTGTTAACTTTACTAATCACATTTTCAACTTCTCCAAAAGCACATGGCCAGATTTAGCACAGGGCATCAAAGTTGATTCAAGTTTGCTCTAATGAAGGGCACATCTTGAAAGGGGATATAATTAATATAAAAAAAAATTCAAACAAAAAACTGCAAAAATAGGGTGGAATCCTTTAAATTTTTTTATTGTTATTAAAAATGAAGTAAATAGATACTGTTTTTTAATTACCGATCTCCAGTTCTGAGTATATGAAGATGTACAATCGGTACTCAAATCTTTTAAAGACTTTATCAGACGGAAGTTTGATTTGTTGATAGTCCAAGTGAAATGTGACATTCATACACATGTATGTATATAACAAGTCCTTTAAGGAGATGTGAAAGATTTAAAAAGTCCTTTTTACTGATAAATAAAATATTAAAAACAATTTTTAACATATATCCGTTTTGTTGTGGAAGTAATAAAGGAATTTTATAGGAACACATGGTTAACAATATTTTGAGATATACGGAGAAAATTGAGGAACATTTTTTGTTCGCAAGAAATACAACAGTTTTTCCTATGGGTGGCACTGCAGCTCTCTGGTCTTCTATCTCAATTTTTTCAGACCAGCAAGCTAAAGATCTGCATGCAGCTACGCAGCAAGTAAATTGCGGAAACATAGTGCTTAGGTACAATGATAGCTTTATATATTATTTTGTGGAAACGTAACTAAACGTAAAAATGATTTTTTTTTCAAAATTTTTGGAAATTTAATATGAGAAATACTTACTGACACTTTTTGTATATTCAATTTGCCATATCATCTGGCTCCGTGGCATAGTCTTATAAACTTTAAGTTTATTCTAGGCACAATACTGTGTTGTTTATGATTTTTTATATTGTATTATTTTATGGCATTTTTGGAATGTTTAACTAATCACAATTCCTACTCATTATCTATGGTGTTGTATTCTTTGTTGTACTTTTAACTATTTTATATGTTTTTGGCATTATACTTTGTCATTTATAAGGAAAGTAAATGACCATTTCAGTTTCTTAAATATGCGTGTTGCGTTGTATTGTGTCAAAATGTGCACCATCCCATCAGTTATCCGAAAAAGGGGGTCCTTATGGCATAAATGGATATTTCAAAAGCTTTTAAGCTGGGGCCAGGATGGATATGGATATTTCAAAAGCTTTTAAGCCGGGGCCAGAGCATATAGTGTTACCCTGTTCCGTCCTTCTGTCATTCCTTCATCATTCACTTTCCGTTCATTATCTCTGCAACAGTTGTACACATTCAACTCAGTTTTGACATACAGATACTTCATAGGAATACGCAGGTCTAGTTGGAATTTGGTCATGGTCCGATGATTTTTGACAGAGTTATCCCTCTTGAACTTTGTGCAGGTAGTTTACTAGAAAATACAGATCAAGTTCGAATTTGGTCATGGTCTGATGATTTTTATGCCCCCTATGAAGAAGAAAGGGCATATTGCTTTGCTGCTGTCGGTCGGTCTGTCTGTCTGTTGGTCCACCAACAGTGTCCGTTTATTTTCTTCGCAGAGGTTGCACACGCTGAAATGAAATTTGGTATACAGATTTATCATAAGAATATCTAGGTCAAGTTCTGTTTTGGATATGATCAAGCAATTTTTGTCAGAGTTATGCCCCTTGGACTTTGAAAAATTCCAATTATTTGCAGTTTCCGTTCATTTTCTTCGCAGAGGTTGCACGTGTGTACTGAAATGAAATTTGGTATACAGATTTATCATAAAAATATCTAGATCAAGATCTGTTTTGGGTACGATCAAGCAATTGTTTGACAGAGTAATGTCCCTTGGACTTAGAAAAATTCCAATTATTTGAAGGGGGGGGGGGCATATTTTAGTTTTAGCTCTCTTTTGTATAAGGTTGAAATTGCATGTGCAGGTATTTTACCAGGAAATACAGGTCAAGTTCGAATTTGGTCGAGGTTCAAAGATTTTTGACAGAGTTATCCCTCTTGAACTTAGAAAAAAAAAAGAAATTTTTAGTTTCAGCTCTCTCTTGAAGGGATGTATGTATAAGGTTGAAATTGCAAATGCAGGTACATGCATTTTACCAGAAAATACAGGTCAAGTTTGAATACAAATTTAAAACTAAATATTGCATTTGAAATTTTGGCTGCTTGCAGTGGCATTCGTGGAGTTAACGACACATCTAGTTTCTGCTAGGTTTAAAATTAATATCTATCTAATAAAAACCCACCTTATTCTTAATTTTAAGGTTCTTTTTTAACCTCAAATTCTTTAATCGATATTATTCTAAGCTATCATTGTGAACAATCACGTATCTGTTTTTAAATCTTATTCTTTCCGAATTAGTGAAGTCGCATATGTTTGAACACATGAATGAAATTGAAATCAAAACCATGGGTAGGTGGAATTCTTCTGTTAGACCTGTTGTTCGAATGTTAAATGAGAATTTACATATTGCAAAGTACTAGTATCTGGGTCGCTGGACCATTAAGTATTCAGAGACCACGGAAATGTGCTCAACGTAATGAACATGAATAACAATTTCGGACTTCTGTTCATTAGATAAATCGGCATGGAATTAGGGTTTGGGTTGACTTCTGCCATTCAAGAGATGATTAAGAAAAATGATATACCCGACAGTTCTCATTGTGGTGGTAATGATATTGGCTACCCACATATTATACTGAAGGGCTTACGTGTAGAAAAACATGAAGATTACTGCAGCTTATATTTCACACTTATGCCAATGAAACTGTTGCTAAAGACAGTTATGGTCTGGTCGCATATATTACCACGTAGTAGTTGATCCTTGTGTCTTTCAAAAACGATGTAGAAAATTTGAGAACAGATCTGGCTAATTTATTGTTTAAAAAAAACATGCATGTGGAATTTCCTTAAAATATCCTGATATTTCATATAAATATGTAACCCTTTTCCGCAATGATGGCACATATTTGTTAGGCTGGATAACGATATATTTATCATTCCATTAAAGAATGCACCGATGCACTTGTCCTCTACTCTGATAGATTTTATCCATATTATTTGAACAAAAATGTTACGCGTTAATTGTCTAGTTTTGGGAGCCTGAGAGGATGATAGTCGATTGTACATAGCTGGTGGTTTTCTGTGTGACCGTTTTCGGTATTTATACCATACTAACAACATGCTCCAGACACCCTCCCCCTTTCCCATTCCCCATAGACCCTCAAAGCAGGACTTTTGTAAGCAAAATCAATATAAAAAATCCCCTTGTATATCTTTCTCTAGAATAAGAGTAAAAAGTGTCGTCGTAATACAAACCGTTTTACCAGGTCAATCTGATTATCTGATATTTTTTTCATTAGTAGCAAAGTCGGGTATGTAGATTTCATTCGGGACAAGATACCAATGCGAATCCGAAATCGGATTTCAAAAAGCCTAAGTTCAAAAGACCAATTATTCCTCATGTGGCAAAGAAAAGAGTTATAGAGCGCAGTTGCTAATAATTCAACCGGTTTCATCGAATGATTTTGGCATGACAAACGATTCTCAAGAGAGTTTGTTGCCTAATATCAAATGCGAAGTTCAGGAAAAACAATAAATTTGTTATTCAATTGCCTAGTTTAATGTTTAATAAACGGTTGCAACTTTTATGCAAAGCGTTATAACGCATATTTAGACTATTTAACCCAATCAAAAGTAAATCTTGACATTCATTAAATTCATGAATGTAACGATATTTTAGGCGATAAATTAGATTTTATGTAGAAAGCACTTGCGACACTTTAACACGAATACCTCTTCTAGACAGTCAGTGCATATAAAGAATGACTCAACTATAAACATAAAGAATGACTCAATTATAAACAAACTAAAGATGTTTTACTGTTATTTGTTTTTCAGAGTGTGACAGGATTTCGAGGCATGTATCAAAATTCTTCTAGCTGTCATCTAAAATGACGTGAGAGCACTGATGAAAAATTACACATTCATTACTTCTGATGATTTGAAAGTTGACATGACATTCTAAACACGTAAACAAATCTTATTTGAAAAAACACAGTTTAAAAAAAAACAAAACAATTAAATGCTCCTATTTTATTCTCCTTCAACAAATACTTATCTGAAAATGATTTATTCAGAATGCATTTGTTTTAGCTGCTTTTCTTTTTACAGAATGTATAATTGTTGTATTATAAGACATTTACCTGCTTATCAGAACAAATTTAAATTTATCAGTTTATGTGGTGTTTTTAGCATCTATTACAAACAACCTCGCCTAAAAATTGAATTACATGAAGGATGGGTTCAATTCATAAATATCAAAACTTTGACCATGAAATCGATATTAAAAGAATTACAAATATCCATGAATGAGCCAATCATTGATAATATGAAATATGTGGGTTCAGAGTAAGTTTTTTGTATACTCTAAATGAACTTTAAATTCCATTGCCCGTGCGATTGCTTCCCACTTTTTCTCTTTTCGTTCCATTTTGTTTTTAAATTTAAATATCACATTGTCTTACCACGAGGCTTGAAGATTTTTTTAAATTCAAATTTGATCAATGAAAAGAATTTTGAAAAATATAAATAAAGAAAAAAAAAAGCTTGAGCATTGGGCGAACTGAAAACTATAGCTTTGAATTAGGCCTTGTCGCCATTGAAGTAGGAATGAAATTCCTCTTTAACACTATTACAAATTCAGTTTAAATTTCAAATTTCCTATTCTTAATTTTATTTCTTAAAAAATAAAAGTTAATTGTATCATTGTTTTTATTCTAAACGAACTTATTGTTTCTCAAATTTTTGCCATTTTTAGAAACATTTTCTTATTGTTTAAAATAAAACTTTGTAAAACACAATATCTTTCAATCGTGAGTGTCTCATGAAGAGGTAAAATTAAATTGTTTAACAGTGTTGACTCCAACCTTTTCTTTTTTTCTGTGTTGATTTTTTTCTTTGAAAAAAAATTGAAAAAAGGACAATTTTGATTACGAAATGACTGTATAAATTTATTTAATATATTTTTTGCTTGATTGTCTTTATACATGTATTCATCAATTTTCTCATT